GATAAAGTGTCAGCTATACAACAGGCGAACCATCCTATGACGAAAAAACAACTACGATCTTTTCTAGGACTGATAAATTTTTACAGAAAGTTTATCCCGAATTTTGCCCATATAGCTCTTCCATTAACAGACCTCACAAGAAAGTTCTCTCCTAGTAAACTTCAGTGGACAGAAGCTCAGGAATTAGCATTTCAAAATCTAAAAGCATCTATTATACAATCTCCGATTTTGAAATTACCAGATCTTTCCAAGGTTTTCATTGTACAGACTGACGCATCCGACAGGGGTATTGGAGCAGTACTTTTACAGGAAGAAGGTGAATTCAAACTCCCTGTTGCCTATGCCAGCCGCAAACTAAAACCAAGTGAAGAACACTACTCGACGATAGAAAAGGAATGCTTGGGTATCAAAAGTTTCACAGGTATCTCTATGGCAAAGGGTTTATTTCAGAGACAGATCACCATTCGCTGGTATATTTGAATAAGACGAAGTTGGTGAACTCCAGACTAATGAGATGGGCATTGTCACTTCAGCCGTACCGATTCCGCATCAGGGCGATTAGAGGGAAGGACAATGTAGGAGCGGATTATTTAAGCAGACAGTAATAATCCGTCAGTAACTGTATGTAAATAAAATTGATGAAAGAAGAATTTTATCTTGTTTTATCTTATGTTTAAAAAGTAAAAAAAACTTGTTCATAAATTGTGTTTGGGAAAAAAATTACATGAATGTAATTTTTCTTTAAAGGGGGAAGGTAATGTCACAATTGATGTCCATATTTGATTTCCATATGTTTTATCTGATAACTATTTAACTAATAATTTAAGCCCAAAATGTTTACCATACTTTTAAGCTTGTTTAGCAGGTTTTACCTGGTGATTTAAATCCCGTGAAATCAGATTGGGCGTAGAAATTGGAGAGAGCAGAAGTGTCTAAGACTGCTCAACTTTCTACCTTATTTTTGTTTAATGTTTTAATATTTCATGACCAGAGGTCCACCTATTCTGGGTAAGTGTATTTTATTCATTATTGTTAACTGTATGATTTATTGACGGTTTTAATTCCTGAAATGGCCACAGAACTTTGTTCTATAATTTCATTCGTAAGTTAGATTCAAAGTAGTACGCGTATTTGCTCATGTAAAGTATATGTGTTATAAGTAAAAGTATAAGTGTATGAGTATATGTATAATGTAGACGTTGTGTTGTATGTATAAAGTATGGCGTATAGTATTCGTCTTAAAGTGGTTGTCTACAAGTAATACACTTAGTTTATGTGTGAACAAATGTTCTATGAAGTAAAGTAGTATGAAGTGAAGTGAATTATAAGTACAGTGCAGTAAAATGCAACTAAGTAAAGTGTAATGCAGTAAAATGCACCTAAGTAATGTACAGCAAAATGTACAAGTATGAGCAACGTATAATTATATTATGTCTGTATCTAACTTTGATTTATATTATAGGTCCCATTTAGGCCACTTATGCCATCTGTACCATTCATGCCATTCAGACAGTTACACTACGCTTGTGTTTGTAAATATCTGTAATAAAAACTATTTTATACACATTGCTTTGTAATTTTGGGAAGTCGCCAGCCACCCTGTGACAATATGTAGGCCTGTTATTGTATTCATATGAAGCAGAGTTTGTGCAAAATCTTATGTATGAAAAGAAGAAAACACTTGTGTGGACTTCAAATCAACATTTAGATATACCGACGAAGTATAGTCAATTAACAATGGCCATTTCCATTCTGTTGTCGATACGATATATCCTGGTGAGCTTGAGATAAAAGATGCTCACATATTTGTATATTGTACTTGAAAAAGACGTTAATTGCTCAAAATTAACGCTTAACGTAGGTCGCGGGTTTGCAGGGCTTTTAAAAGTGTCCGAAAACATACCTTGAAAATTACCTGAATGATTTCTCTATCTTTGATTTCCATTCTCTGAAAATTTGATAAAATTCGTCTGCGCCGTTTTTGTGAAATTTAATTCCAAAGATGCCATTGTTGTAGTAACATTTTTGACATTATTCTATTGAATTATATAGGAAAAACGTCGTTTTTGGCTTGTTTTCAGGCAAGGTTTTGATTTAAAAAATATCAATAACTTTTAAATAGTGCAGACGAATTTGTTTATCCTTTGGTATTTAAAACTAGAATTGATTTGAAATAAATCTATGTGAAAAAATTAATATGTCTTCGGGTTCATTTTCTCGTAATTTAATTGTAGATAATTGCTTTTATATTGAAAAATGTAGCATTTTTAAGAACGACGTCATAAAATATCGCGACGTCACGCTCGACGTCGTGAATATCGATCCGTTATACAGAGCAAAAAAAAAATATATATACTGATTTTTAAAAAAAGGAAATTCACGTTTATCTGCTTTCAAATGTTCAACATCATAATAAATCAATAAAAAAAATGATTAGACATTTTTCTCTTTACGTCTAATATTGGTGAAATTTCTCGCAAAAGGCGTAAACCAACAATAAGTCCTTTAGTTTTTATTTTAATATTTTCTTTATGTGTTGATTTCTTTTTTTGTTTTCTTCATGCACGGATTCTCGCCGGATTTGCAAACTAAAAGTGATCTTGTATTCCCTTCTGGAAAAGGCAGAAAGCCCCTCCCCGTTGAAATCGCAGATCTGTGATAAGTTTGTCTGAAAAGTTAAAGGTATGAAGATAATTTAGAAGTCAAAGACTAACAACCCCACCCCCACCCCCGAAAAATGTTTTTAAGTTTTATTTATATTTTTTTTCTTTAGAAAATTCAGCAAGGCACTCAAATCAACGATAACTTCATATGAATGAATTTCCTCCAAATATCGTCCCGGGTATAAATACATGTATTAAATTTTATGCTTATACGTATAAGGATAGAAAAAAAAACGTACAAGGAATTATTAGAGAAGTAAATGGGGCGATCGAGAATCTAAACATTAATTTTATTTGGCGTAATCAACAGGTAGATCTTTTTTGTTCTTATACCTTCAATATATATAACATGAATTCTACTGAATGAACATGGAAAGCAACGTAGCGAATAAAATATGTACTTGTACATGTAGTATGCCGTTACTTACACAGGCAATTGAGGTATCGACACCCCACCCCCTCTTTTCCGTTTTTCTGGGGGGAGGGTTCTATTTTGGATTTTTAATACGTATTACATGTTATTAAAAATGTTACCCTTTTACGTATCTCCTTACGCTGTTTTTAAATACGTGTATTTCGTTTTCGACTGATACATAAAAAGAGATGGCTTGCATTTGGTTTTATTCTCGTCGTCTGTCTCAGTTAATCTTCACTTGATGACTATCAAAAGCGTAGGAAATCATGGAATATGCAGACATCAATAAATCTGAAACACATTCTTCTTCCTTTTAATATGTGCCTCCGACTAGTAAATATTTCGATTCAATCAACCGCATATATGATGGAGTTAAAATACAAAAAAAAGGAAAAAGTTCACTCATCCCCGGCTTTAGCAAGAAAAAAATTGATTTTAGGAGGGAGGGGGTCATATCCTATGTGCATGTGGTTATTTACAAGAGGTTAATGCCGCTCAAAAAATGTATTAGTTTATGTTTCATTAGTATTAGTATCTTAGCAGTTTTTAATTTGTGACCAACCTGTATATATATTTTTCAAAAGTTCTTTTAAAAAATTAAAGTTATACTTTTAATGTACCGGTGCATTTGCGATGTTTAATAAAATGACTTCTTATTGATTATTATGAACTTTAAATTTGAATAGGGCAAAGAATATGATCCCGAATTTGATTGGCTAAAAACCTGTACCTAAATGGGAAAAACTTCATGTGTTTTTATGGAAAATAAGACTTTATCAAATGTTATTTATTCAATGTAATTTTTAAAATATAGAATTGAATTTTTAAACCCTTTCATTTTTTTCTATTTTGCTCTATGTCCGAGATTAGCACATACCCTTTCATAATTGAGTTCGACTTTCCATCGGAGAGCAAAGTTTTGACGCTGTTTACGGAGATGGAAAAGAAAACAAACACATGCATGCCTTTTATGGTTGTTTAGATAAATTATCGTAGAAGACAAGGGTAATAAACAATTTGTTAGTGCATTTCCTTTGAAAGTGTAAATGAGTGCGTTTCTGAGGAGGGGGTACTAAGTGTAATTCGGAGTTAGATACCAGAATAAACCCGAGAAGATGCGATTGATAACACATAATGAAATGCTTTCTAATAATTTCAGTGTTGGTCATTCGAATCGATATAAGCCTTCATTATTTTTTTTTATAACTTCAGCATGTTCTAAGAATAATGTTACACAAAACTACCAATTTCAACAAAAGTTCTAGCTAGATAATGTACCGAATTTTTCCATTTCTCGTTGTGACGTCATAATCAGATGTGCACAAGAAAGTCGCCCAAATCATATAAATTGCGTACCTAGTTTTAATGACGTCAGCAAACCCGCGACCTACGTTAAAATGTGAAGAAAGATTTAGGATCTCTCAGATTTCCAAATAATATTCTGGAAAGTTCTCCTAAGAACGCAAATGTTTGGAACAATTGACGATCGTACCTTACATTTTCTTCTAAATGGTTAGGTGCACTGCACCTGATAAGCAAACATCCAGAGTTGGCTACAGGGAACAATGGAATAAATTATATCTCAATTGCTCGCTGTTTCAACGCCTTTACTACCTTGTGATTTTAACAAATTAAATTATTCATTAACTTTTTTTATAATTAACATGGCATCTGCCAAGTAGGTCCTCAAAGATTCAAAGATTGAGAAGATATAAATACTGTCATTTAAATAAACTCGCCGTTCATCCTCCTACATCTGTCGTCATGTCACAATAGACCTCTCTCCAGGTGTTGACGATGTATAACATTGACAATGAAAAACACTACTCACCGTCAACCCCCTCCATCTGTCGTCATGCCACATTGGACCTCTCTCCGGGTGTTGACGATGTATAATATTGACAATGAAAAACACTACTCACCGTCCATCCTCCTCCATCTGTCGTCATGTCACAGAAAACTTCTCTCCGGATGTCAGGGTAAATTACGTACACTCCATCTTGTTCTATCTTGTTTGGGTCTTTTTTTAAAATGTCTGAGCAGTCCTTGTATATCTTTTCTTTTTAACGTGTAAAAATATTTAAAAATCTTGAATTAACACTCTATTTCAGGCCCATCGAAAGAAATTTCAGTTGGAGTAATGGGGCACAACCATACATTATCAGTTTGGGGAACTATTAAGAACGAAAAATTCCTTAACAAGCAAAAAAAAAAAAGGTTATCAGATGTTATTATTGAGGGGACGCAAGCAAACAGTACCTATGTTTTCTATAATATTCTATAGCACGCACCACCACCACTTTGTTTGCCACATGCTTAAAATCAAAATATCAAAATGAAAATTAATTACAATGTAGATATGCCACAGGAACAGCTTTTCTGATTCCGTTAAAAATGAAAATCAATATATGAAACGTTTTGCAGTCTTCTTCATGAGGAACATTCAGCAGGATGCTAACATTTATCTCCTTATGAGATTTTGTAAATAATGAATTTCCGCCAAATTGTACACCCTAAATATATTACATCAATGGTATATATTTTCAGGGGAAAATACTCGCAGGAATCATTTTTTTTTATTTCTGTAATAAAAAACATAAAATATGCCTGCGTTGGTTACGCAGAAATAAAATCGAAGATGATAACAAGACCTTCTCGTGTTTGTTTGAAAAGATTAAACATTTCCACTGGATATTGTCAAAGTTTTTGCAAAACATAGTGTTTTAAATATTTTATATATTTCAAAATTGCATTATTTAGTGCTAGAGGGATTTTTTAATATGATTAAACACTAATACGAGGGTTGATCCAAAAGTAATGTCACAGTGTCCATATCTTTTATATTTGCTGTCATATTATCAAACATATACCAAAAGATGCACAAATATAAATTTAATTAAACTTCAATTTTTCATTCAATAATGTTTAGCTGAATTTATTTTATAGATGTTTAAATCATATAAGATAGGGGGTGTCGCCGCGTCAAAACCGAGCGTCACAAATTAAAGTGTACTTTTTTAGTATAAAAAAGACAAACACTTAAAAAGCATCTTTCAAAAGCGCTTAAACGCAAAATACTTTAAAAGACAATAATGTACATCATTTTCTAGTCTTAAATTGAAAATTAAATGACATCACTCTATTTTTATGAAAAACATGATTTATTCCGGTGCATCGAAAAAGGGAAATGTCAAAATGGACAAAAAAGCCAAGACAAACTGTAATGCATTTTTGCTTCAAAATGAAGAAATCGCCAGTAGAGACAGTTATGTTGATTCATCAGACTTTCGGAGGAAAGAATGTAAGTAAGAGACTTGTTTAGATGCTTTCAGCGATTTTTGGTGGGTGAGGGGTCATTAAATGCTCAGCAGATGACAAGAAAACCGAAAGATGGGAGGGCGGACGGAAATGTTCAATGGTGCGTCAAAAAGACAGACGGATAGAGCGATATGTGAAATTTTAAGTTGGTCATTTACTACTGTTCAATGAATTTTGACAGAATTAATTATGGAAAGAGTGAGTGTACGATGGGTACTAAGGGTAAGAAAGTGAAATTTGTGAACGTGCTCGTGGATATCAAATCTCAAATATTTTAATGAAACGAAGGGCAGCGTTTAAATGCATGACGGCGCGTATCCGTCATATGACGTTATTTAGGTGCGGCGACTACCATAATCGCACGTTGTATATAATCCGATATTTTAAAAAGTATAAATCATGTTGAATTGAAATTTTCAGGTCTGATTTGAAATAAGTGTAGCTTTCATCATTTGTAATCTTGTTGTTTTACGTCGACGGATAGCGATTTTATCGAAGTTGTGACATTACTTTTGGATCAACCCTCGTATATAAAACAGTTTGAATAAAATACCACCACGGTCATTATAAAGACTTACAAAATACTGATTTTAAACGAGGATGTTGAATTCCTGTAAAATCAAATTATCTATCATGATCAGTAGCTTACCTTGGTTTAAACATGGATTATATTTAATGAATGTTCTTACGCTAGGTTATTGAATGAGTTAGGAAGCGTAAACATCATAACGTAGGCAGGAGTTAACGAAAAATTGCTACATAGATACGGAAACTTGACGAAAAGCCTGATGTCATACAATTTTGTTTCTGGAACTATAGAACTTATCTGTTTAAAGTGTTAAAAGCTAAAATGCGTCTAGGGAAAAAAAGGATCGTCGAGTTTAACAGTCGATAAACTAAAATTCAAAAAATTAAAAATAAATTTTATTAATTTTGGGGCCTTCTAATGCAAAAATATGCAGGAAATCATTTGGTACCTTTTAATACTTGTACACATTCACCGTTTATACAGATGGCATCCTCGGTACAGGTAGGATTTAGACAATTGCCGACCAAGTGCTAAAAGAAACAAAATCATTGATAAAGTTCGTTTGAAATTTAATAAAATATATTTTTATTTTAAAAATTTAAACATTTTTACCCGTGGAAAATGTCCTCGGTCAACGTGAATTGAGCGGCCTTTAGTCATGAAATCACTGACATTTCGTGAAGCAAATCTTGTGTTTAGCCGACATTTCTTTTCTTCTCGTATCCAATCCACTGATCGACATAATAAAAACCTGTTACAAACTATCATACACATTCCAATATCAGTATTGGTCAAGATGTGAAAACCAGGTACTGAGGAATTCTCGATATTGCTAATGATCAAGGTTTTGGGGTCGAAGCTCAAGCACTGCGAGTATCCCGCATGTAGCAAGCCTAGAAACTGACCAATGAAATAGAGACTGATCATTTTTTCAAATGTTGCCGTGAATATTTCAACAGTTCTCTTAAACGACACAACAAACATTGTTGGTCACCGGCTTGTGATTGAGAAGCTGTTTATGAATTCTAACTTAATCAAGTAAAACTTTATAGCTTTCCTTCAAGATGTTGATTATGATTGGTGAGAGTTCTCAGATAACGGTTTTCTTGTTTTTCTTGATGTAACGTGTAGAATAAAAAAAATATTTCTTTAAAGAATTTCAGTTTAAGTTCTGAAGATTATAAATCCATTTCTTTTACAACACTGATAATTACAGCAAATGATTGATTAAAGCCCACGTGATGACAAAGTAATTATCTATAGTAGAATTTCAATGTAGGAGAAAATCCAAATAAATCATTTAGTAAAATTAGTTAAAATTTTGTTTGTTCTTTGATAAAGTCTTAAAAATAAAGGATTCAAAGTCAAAACATGTTTTTGTAAGACCAACAAAAACACTTTTTTTAATTTCCAAAAAACAAATACAAACTCACGAGAGAAAAAAATGAAATATTTGAAATGTGAAAATTTTTAATTAATCGTTGTTCGTGTTCTCAATTTAAATGCACTAAATAATTTTTAAGATGAATTAGAAAACGATAGAATGTTACCCTGATATTGATAATATTTAGAAATAATGAAAGGCAATAAATTTTCCTAGAAATATATTTACGAGAAACGTTTATTAATTAATCATAAATTTTGTATGTACCTGGCGGTAAGTCAGAACTTAATGTTTATATGTTATCAATTATATTCTCAGTGAATTAGAAGTAAAAGACAAAACTGTGTCTGCTAATTATTTTAATACAGATTAAGGAGAAGATTTTCATATGATCTTCAAATAACAACTGCATATAGTGCCTCACAACTGGTTTAGTTACTCACAAACTTGTTCTACATTTTAGAATATGTTATAGAGGAATAGAAGAGTCATTTTTTAATTTCATTATTCACGTCAAGTGCATACGTCAAATGCAGTTTTCATACTTAACATAATTCTATTAATTGATTGATTGAATGGGGTTTAACACCGTATCAGCAATATTTCAGCCATATTTCGGCAATAGATTGTTATAATAATAATAATAATAATAATACTTTATTTAAAGAGGGTAACCCGATTAGTGCAGTGCACTAGTCTTCCTCGGGGCCCTCTAAACACATTCACAATAATACAATTATAAAAACATCGTACAATATTATAATAAATAATACAACATGACGTGAGAATACAAGTACATATACAGATCGATTCAAGAACATGAAATTATATAACTTTTAGTTTCGACATGTTATAATGAATTTTTCTACATTTTTACGAAAGGTTTGTACAGTTGGTGAGAAACGGATATGCAAAGGTAATTTGTTCCATAAATGAACACCGGAATAATGAAAGGAATTTTTAAATTGATTTGTTCGATATTTTGGTAGATGAAGGTCATAGTTCGTTTCAGATCGTAGAACATAGCTATTAGAGGAAATAAATTCAAAGGAGTCTCTTAAATATGTTGGCACCATACCATGAAGTGTTTTGTACAGTAATACATATTTATGAAAATCAATTAACTCATATATGGTCAGCCATCCAAGTTTTTCAAATAATGGTAGTGAAGGGGCATCATAAGCCACATCTACAATAATCCAGGCTGCCCTTTTTTGCAATTTAAAAACTCTATCTATGCCAGCAACTGGCGCATTACCCCAAATAGAAAGACAATAATTCAAAGAAGGCAGAATGTATGCATTATAAAATAGTTTTCTCGTGTGTAAGGGAAGAATTTTTTTAATTCTGCGTAAAGTATACTATTTATAAGTCAAAGATTTACAAACTGAGTCAAAATGATAATTATAGCGCAATGAATGATCAATATGTACTCCCAAAAGCTTTTCAGATTCAACATTTTTAATTAATTTGTTTGAAGCATATAAATTTAGTTCAGAGGAATTTATTCTTGATTTTCTTTGTTGAGTTCCCATGAGCATACATTTTGTCTTGTTGGTATTTAACACCATTTGATTTTTGGAACACCAATTTTCTATCTCACACAAATCAAAGTTTAGGGCATTCTCTATACCTTCTATATTTTTATGATATGTATGTAAGGTTGCATCATCAGCAAACATATCAATATCTGTTCTATTTACATGTAAAGGGAGATCATTTATATACAATAAAAATAATAGGGGACCCAAGATAGATCCCTGGGGCACTCCTGCTGTGACGGGCAAAAAATCAGAGGAATATGTACCTATTTTTACACACTGAGACCTTGAGGTTAAATAAGATTGAAACCATTTAATAGCCATTTGGTCAAAGTGATATGATTGAAGTTTATTTATTAGGATATCATGATTAACCAAATCAAACGCCTTGCTAAAATCGATGAAAGTTATGCCTACTAAATTCCCTTGGTCCATAGTTTGTAGCCAATTATCTGTAAGTTTTGTTAGAGCCGTTTGACATGAGTGAAATTCTCGAAATACAGATTGTGATTTAAATAACAGATCAAAGTTAGAAGTAAAGTTACGCATCTGATTGGCTATGTGTTTTTCAACTAATTTTGATAATGTTGGAAGAATGGATATCTGTAGTTCCCTGGATCTGCGTGGTCGCCATTTTTGAAAATAGGAGTGACTTTTGCTTGTTTTAAACGGGATGGAAACACTCCATTAGTGATGCTAGTATTTATAAGATGTGTAATAGGTTTGCATATAACATTTGCCGAAAGCTTTAGAAGACGAGGTCCAATCAAGTCTATACCGGCTGACTTGTTTACATCAAGTGTATTCAACATATTTAATACTTCAAACTCACTTATATGATTTATACTGAAAACATTTTCTTTCCCTAGTTTAGTTTCTGTAAATCTATTTAATAATTCTGAATCAAAACTTTCTACTGATATATCTGCTATATCTGATCGATTTGAAGTGATTTTGGTTTCTCTGGCGGCCCCAAGTGAACCTAGTCATTTTCGAAATCCAGAAAAACAAACTTTTTCGTGCTTAGGGGGGTTTAAGAAATTCCAAGCTTACAAGTCATTTATATAAAATATATTACATAATACTTATCCAAGAACCTTAGCAGGTCATGGATAGGTTTAGAAGACATTTATAACTCCTTTTTGTGTACTTGTTCCATGACCTGAAAAAAAATGTCACCATTTTTTTGTTTTTGAATTGCCTGTCTTTTATTATTTAGTTTCATTTATTCACATACATAGAGAAACCATTTCAGTCTATCTAAATACTAAGGATCCAAAAAATTCTTTTCTACATATTATTTATGACTTGTACATTTCTGTAAGAGTGATATTCAGGATCAAAACACTTGATCATAGTCCAGTGCGTCGACTGGGCGAAGGTCGACGACATTTTTCAAAAAGTCGGATTTCAACCCGATGTATTAGACTTGCTCAGATCTCTATGTCTTAGTGCTCTCTTTCATACTTTTTGATAATGTCAAACATAGATTTGATAACATATAACTATGCCAGAGAGCAGAGGACAGCAATACAAATAAGAGCAAAGAATTTGTAAAAATATTTATGATGAAATAAACAATAAACATAGATGCTTGAGGAAGTCTACCCGGTGTATATGAAACGTTATAAAATTCATATCCGTTAAAGATTAAACATCAAAATTTGAGGAAATATAATAAAGAATACATTTTTAAGGATTTTCATCTCCATTCAAAAAATACAGAGTAGAAATTACATTTTCCTAGGATCTTAAATATAATATACCGATTTTTGAATTCAACTACTGGGTGCTGCACTGCCTTCCTACACCAGACAATGAAATGCATCATTTAAATAGGGTTAATATGCGTAGATACATCATATTTGTCCATAAATTTATTAGATAGTGATGGTTTAATCTTTGAACGAAGTTTCATTTATATATGACATCGTGTTCCTACGAAACAACGCTTGTCTACTGAATTTTTTGACAACTCTCGTATAATGGACTAAAAATCAGTT